TCTGCTGCTGTCCGAAAAGGGTGTCGCCAAATTTAACTTGAAAAAATGAAAACAAATCACGTCCGGCAAATTGGGCTTTGTAGCTGGCGACTGGGCTTATTAGCCGGCGATTGGGCTTATTAGCCGGCGGATTTTGCTATGTAAAATTCCGTTCCCGAGCTGACTTGGGCTTAATACGCGGCTGGGCTTATTAAACGTGGGCTTAATAAGCTGATTTGGGAATTTTGCTATGTAAAATTCCGTCCCAAGCTGATTTGGGCTTAATACGCGGCTCGCTTATTAGCCGTGGGCTTAATAGCCGGCGACTATGTAGTTAGGACAAACGTGGATGATTTGGTCTTTAACTGTACTCTTTCATCTACGATAAAATACAAATAACGGCAGCATTTAACAATAGTTAGTTGCGAACAGAGGCCTATTCAGCTACATAGGGTCTTGAGAGGGACATAGTCGGACCATTTTCTTGATAGCTAGATGGTTATATTTTGCAAAGGATCGTAAGAAGTGGAAGTTCGACTCACATGACTGATCATACCATCTCCGAATATATGCAATCGAAAAAAAATAGTTGGCTGGATCCTTCAAGATTTTACTATAACCTGTTCCTTCATTCTTCGTTCTTCTAAACCCGCGTATAATGGTGGCCCATGTTTAATTTTTCGGTTGCATATACGAGGGTGACACAAACTTGGCGAAAAGTAACCTCGGTTCAAAATGTCCCGTAGTATCAGTGCTAATTCGAAAGCTTTAAATTTTAACATAAAACTACTAAATATGTGTTAAATGCAAGGTTATTTTTAGTCTTGACACATTAAAACCTATTTGTGTAAACGAATGAATATAGCCAAAACTAATTTTAAACTAACCGCAGTAGTGCATCCCACGTTCTTTCCGCGATAGCGCGAGAGGACGGCCTTTTCTTTAACGGCTGCATTTCTGTAGGCCATGGCTCTGTCCTTGTCGTAGACGAGAAGCACAAAAACTTCTCCCCATCGCTGGAGTGGGAGAGAGAGGTGAAAACCGCACCGTTAGTCGAAAGGCCGATCTTAGCAACGACCTCACTTCTGACTACAGTTTTGCACTTCTTCACAATAACACGGCAGAAAAAGTACCAGAAGGGTAGCTTATTTAACAGGGTGAGCTAGTACTAATTAAAAGGCATGAAGCATTTATTTAGATATGGGTTGGAATAAGTCTTACCGAGAGATCTGATGGCTCGCACATTTTCCGGAGATGCCCTTCAGGCAATTTGTCTCAGACACTGAGAGTGTAGAACTATCGATCGGAAATTCGAATTGGAAGGCGCGCGCAGGTCACGGATAGGTTCTGGCTTCATGGGACAGCCGACTCCTTTGCTGGAGACTTACACCCACACGT